CCTGTACCAGTCCCTGTGTTACCATGGCCAATCCAATGCAACCTGTACCAGTCCCTGTGTGACCATGGCCAATCCAATGCAACCTGTACCAGTCACTGTGTGACCATGGCCAATCCAATGCAACCTGTACCAGTCCCTTTGTTACCATGGCCAATCCAATGCAACTTGTACCAGTCCCTGTGTTACCATGGCCAATCCACTGTAACCTGTACCAGTCCCTGTGTTACCATGGCCAATCCAATGCAACCTGTACCAGTCACTGTGTGACCATGGCCAATCCACTGTAACCTGTACCAGTCCCTGTGTTACCATGGCCAATCCAATGCAACCTGTACCAGTCCCTGTGTTACCATGGCCAATCCACTGTAACCTGTACCAGTCCCTGTGTTACCATGGCCAATCAAATGCAACCTGTACCAGTCCCTGTGTTACCATGGCCAATCCACTGTAACCTGTACCAGTCCCTGTGTTACCATGGCCAATCCACTGTAACCTGTACCACTCCCTGTGTCACCATGGCCAATCCATTGTAACGTGTACCAGTCCCTGTGTCACCATGGCCAATCCATTGTAACGTGTACCAGTCCCTGTGTCACCATGGCCATTCCATGTAACAATAGATTTACCATATTTGTTTGAAGGTAATCTGAACTGTACAACTGATGACTTCAAATGCCGGAATGAATACTGTATTCCAAGTTCATGGCGATGTGATGGTGATGAAGACTGCAGAGACCATTCAGATGAGGATGATTGTGGTGAGACTCACATACTGATATGTCACATGGCCTTAATAAAAACCTGATTACACCACCACATATCAATTTACCCAAATCATAATTTATTTTATCACATAACAGTGATATTCAGTTATTTTAAAGTTGAAGGGTTGTCACCTGCACACACGCAATAATTAAGTCCTAAGCCATTATAACAGTGCACACTAAAAATGCAAAAGCTCATAGTTAAATGGTTATGGCCATCTGATGTATGTGCAGGTGACGACTTCCTTGCTTTAAGTATTTAGTTGTTGTTTTTTTTAAGGAGGGACATTGGCCTTGATGCCCCCTGGAGGGAGGTTTGCCTTGATAACATTCAAAAAATGTAGATTATCACTATACTATTCCTATATGCTAAGGCAATTTTATAATAATCAAATTTTTTAATTGAAATGGGCGGCCACTTAACTCGCATATTCAAGCAAGGATATTGATTATAATTTTGTTTTGTTTATCGTTATAATGTTCTGATGTACTCCAGTCATCATAGATGCTAATAACTTCCCGTCAGATATTCTTCATTTGTGCAGTCAATCATATCCACACGAACAGAATGTATTCTTTATTTGGTGCTTAACAAATATTTTTTTTTTTAATTAAGAAAATCCATGTGGAAATTTTGAAATGGAATGCCCTAATGGTAAATGTGTATTAAATGTGTGGGTGTGTGATGGCGAGGATGACTGCGGTGATAACGCTGATGAGGCAGAATGTGGTAAGTAAATATAATCTTCAGTAATGTGTGCTGTAATATTGGGTCGCCATAACACTTAGATCAGGCTTCTATAACACAACGTAGGTGCAGTAACACCACATTGGGCTGCTATAACACCTTACTAGGCATCTATATTTCTCTTATACTAGTTGTAATTAATGAGCTTTCCGTGCTTGATTGCTGATTTTATTTTATTTTTATTTTTATGTAATAAAAATGCTATTACAGATACAACATGTAGACACAATGAATTCCAGTGTGCCAATGGTAGATGCATTTCAATTAACTGGAGGTGTGACAACGATAATGACTGCAATGATAATTCTGATGAAGTGGATTGTGGTAAATATTCCTAAGTCATTATTTGCAGATTACATTTTATTGTCCAATACTGTAATAAGATTCCTGGCTATTATAATGTTTGCTTTTTCTTTGAAAATTGGTGACATGCCTCTCGACAGTCAATTGTTTATAAACCTCATAAATAGACAACAGATTTTTTTTTCGTTGTCTATAGGTATGCTAAAAAAGCCTGTAACCTGTGGCATTGAACAGTTCCTTTGTAATAGTACCATGGAGTGTATTCCTGAAGTGTGGGTATGTGACTATGAAGCTGATTGCTCACAAGGAGAAGATGAACCAGAGTCGTGTTGTAAGTTAACTGTAGTGTGGGTATATGAATATAACGCTGATTGATCACAGGGGG